GACTACCCACTTCAGAGCACCATCAGGGCTGCGCATCCATGCAGTCTCTGCTCTTACAGCCCACGACTACCCACCCTCCCATCCATGCACTTTGTGCTCCCACATCCCCTGACTACCGACCCTCCCATTTATGCACTCCCTGCTCCCACTGCCCCTGACTACCTACCCTCACATCCATGCACTCCCTGCTCCCACAGCTTCTGAATACACACCCTTCGAGAAGCATGAGAGCTGCCCTTTTATGCAATTCCTGCTCCTGCAGCCCCTGAGTACCCACCCTCATATCTATGCACTCCCTGCTTCCACAGCTCCTGACTACCCTCCCTCAGAGAAGCATGAGAGCTGTCCATCCATGCACTCCATGCTCCCACAGCCCCTGACTACCCACCTTCCCATCTATGCATTCCCTGTGCCTCTCAGCCCCTACCACCCTAAGAGTAGCATGAGAGCCCTTCATCCATGAATTCCCTGTACCCCACATCCCCTGAGTACCCACCCTCCCATCCATGCATTCCCTGCTCCCACAGGCCCTGACTACCCACCCTCCCATCCATGCATTCCCTATTCCCACAGTGTCTGACTACCCACCCTCACATCCATGCACTCTCTTCTCCTAGAGCCCCTGACTACCCACCCTCAGAGCAGCATGAGAGCTGCTCTTTTATGCACTTCCTGGTCCCACAGCCCCTGACTACCCACCCTCCCATCTATGCACTCTCTGCTCCCACAGTCCCTGACTACCCACCCTCACAACCTTGCACTCGCTTCTCCCACAGCCCATGACTACCCACCCTCAGAGCAGAGTGAGAGCTGCTCTTTTATGCACTCCCTGCTCCCACAGTCCCTGACTAACCACCCTCCCATCCATGCATTCCCTGTGCCTCCCAGCCCCTGACTCCCACCCTGAGAGCAGCATAAGAGCCCTCCATATATATGCTCCCTGTGCCCCACAGCTCCTTACTACCCATCATCCCATCCATGCCCTTCCAGCTTTCACAACCCCTGACTACCCACACTCCCATCCATGCACTGCTTGCTCCCACAGGCTGTGACTACCCAACCTCCCATCCATGCTCTTCCTTATTCCTTAGCCCCTGACTACCCACCCTCCCCGACCATGCACTACCTGTTCCCACATCCCCCGACTACCCATTCTCCCATCCATGCACTCCCTGCTCACACAACCCCTGAATACCCACTCTCACATCCATGCACTTCCTGCTTTCACAACCCTTGACTAACTACCCTCCCATTTATGTACTTCCTGGTCCCACAGCCCCTGACTACCCACCCTCACATCCATGCACTTTCTCCTCCCACAGCCCCTGACTACCCACCTTCCCATGCATGCACTCCCTACTCGCATAGCCCCTGACTACCCGCCCTCACATCCATGCACTCGCTGCTCCCACAGCCCTTGACTCCCCATTCTCTCATCCATGCACTTTCCCACAGCCGCTGACTACCCACCCTGACATCCATGCACTCCCTGTTTTCACAGCCCGTGACTACCCAACCTCCCATCCATGCACTCCCTGCTCCCACAGCCCCTGACTACCCACTGTCAGATCAATGCACTCTCTGCTCCCACAATGTCTGACTACCCACCATCCCATACATGCACTCTCTGCTTTCATAGCCCCTGACTACTCACCCTCCCATCCATGCACTCTGTGCTCCCACATTCCCTGACTACCTACCCTCTTATCCATGCACTTTCTGCTCCTCCAGCCCCTGACTGCTCCTCCAGCCCCTCCTCTCCATGCCCTCTACGGTCCCATAACCCGACTACCCACCGTCACATTTATGCACTCTCTGCTCCCACCGCTTCTGAATACACACCCTCACATTCATGCACTCCCTGCTCTTACAGCCCCTGACTACCCACCCTCAGAGCAGCATGAGAGCTCTTCATCCATGCACTCCCTGCTCCCACAGCCCCTGACTACCCACCCTCCCATCCATGCACTCCCTGCTCCCACAGCCCCTACCAACCTTCACATCCATACACTCCCTGCTCCCACAGCCCCTGACTACCCACCCTCCGAGCAGCATGAGAGCTGCTCTTTTATGTACTCCTGCTCCCACAGCCCCTGACTACCCACCTTCTCATCTAAGCATTCCCTATGCCTCACAGCCCCTGACTAACAGCATTAGAGCAGCACGAGAGCCCGTTATCAATGAGCTTTCTGTGCCCCACAGCCCCTGACTACCCATCTTCCCATCCATGCACTTTTTGCTCCTGCAGCCCCTGACTACCCACCGTCCCATTCATGCACTCCCTGCTCCCATAGCACCTCACTACCCACCCTCACACCCATCCACTCCCTGCTGCCACAGCCCCTGAGTTTCTGCCCTCGAATCTATGCACTCTGTGATCCCATAGCTTCTGACCGCCCACCCTCATATTCATGGACTCCCTGCTCCCATAGCCCCTGAGTACCTACCCTCCAATACATACACTGTGTGCTCCCACAGCCCCTGACTACCCAACCTCACATCCATGCTCTTCCTGCTTTCACAGCTCCTGACTACCCACCCACCCGTCCATGCACAGTACCTAACTACCCACCCTACCATGTCTGCACACCCTCCTCCCACATTCCCTGACTCCCCAGCCTCCCATCCATGCACTCCCTGCTTTCACAGCCCCTAACTACTCACCCTCACATCCATGCACTCCCTTTTCCCACAGCCCCTGACTATGCAGCCTCACATCTCTGCACTTACTGCTCCCACAGCTTCTGACCACCCACCCTTACATCCATGCACTTTCTGCTCCCACAGCCCCTGAATAGGCACCCTTGCATCCATGCACTCCCTGCTCTTTCAGCCGCTGACTACCGACCCTCAGAGCAGCATGAGAGCTGTTCATTCATGCACTCCCTGTTCCCACAGACCCTGACTACCCACCCTCTCATCTATGCACTGCCTTCTCCGACAGCCCCTGACTACCCACCATAACATCCAAGCATTTCCTGCTCCCACAGCTCCTGACTACCCACCCTCAGAGCAGCATGAGAGCTGCCCATCCATGCACTCTCTGTTCCCACAGTCCATGACTACTGTATCTCCCATCCATGCACTTCCTGTTCCCACAGCCCGAGTACCCACCCTCACATCCATGCACTACCTGCTCCCACATCCCCTGACTACCCAACCTCCCATCCATGCACTCCCTGCTCCTACCCAACCCCTGACTACCCCCGCTCCCATACATGCACTTTTTTTTCCCACAGCCCCCCGACGACCCACCCTCCCATCCATGCGCTGTCTTATCCCACAGCCCCTGACTACCTATTCTCAGAACAGCATCAGGGCTGCCTATCCATGCAATCTTTTCTCTTGCAGCCCAGGACTACCCACCCTCCCATCCATGCACTTTCTGCTCCCACAGCACCTCACTACCCCGCTTCACATACATGCGCTTTCTGCTCCCACAGCCCCTGACTACCCGACCTCCCATCCATGCACTCCCTGCTCCCATGGCGCCTGAATACCCACCCTCACATCCATGCACTTTCTGCTCCCACAGCCCCTGACTACCCACCCTCACATCCATACACTCTCTTCTCTCACAGCCCCTGACTAACCACGGTCATATCTATACACTCCCTGCTCCCACAGCTTCTGACTACCCACCCTCAGAGCAGCATGACACCTGCCCATTCGTGCACTCCCTGCTCCCGCAGCCCATGACAACCCAGCCTCACATCCATGCACTCCCTGCTCCCATAGCTCCTGATTACCCACCTTCACATTCATTCACTCCCTGGTCCCACATCCCCTGACTACCCACCTTCCCATCCATGCATTTCCTGTGCCTCACAGCCCCTGACTACCACCCTGAGAGCAGCATGAGAGCCCTGCATCCATGAGCTTTCTGTGTCGCACAGCCCCTGACTACCCATCCTTCCATCCATGCACTTCCTGCTCCCACACCCCTGACTACCCACCCTCAGAATAGCATGAGAGCTACCCATCATTGCACTCCCTACTCCTACAGGCCCTGAATACCCGCCTTCAGAGCAGCATGAGAGCATTCCCTGCTTTCGCATCCCATGTCTACCCATCCTCACATCCATGCACTCCCTACTCCCACAGCCCCTGACTACCCACCCTCAGAGCAGCATGAGAGCTGTTCATCCATCCAGTTCCTCCTCACACTGTTCCTGACTACACACCTTCTCATCCATGCATTCCCTGTGCCTCACACCTCCTGACTAGCACCTTCAGAGCAGCATGAGAACCCTCCATCCATATGCTCCCTGTGCCCCAGAACTGAATACCCATCGTCCCATTCAAGTAGTCTCTGCTCTCACATCCCGACTACCCCCCACATCCATGCACTCCCTGCCCCGACAGCCCCTGACTACCCACCCTCACATCCATGTACTCCCTGCTGCCACAGCCCCTGCTACCCCCCTGCCATCCATGCACTTTCTGCTCCCACCATTCCTGAATTCCCACTGTCCCATCTATGCACTCCCTCCTCCCACAACCCGTGACTCCCCACCCTCCCATCCATGCCCTCCCTCCTCCCACATCCCCTGACTGCCCACCCTCACATCCATGCACTCCCTTCTCCCACATCCCCTGACTACCCACTGTCCCTTCCAGGCACTCCCTGCTCTTATAACCCCTGACTGCCCACCCTCATACCCATGCACTTCCTGGCTCCACAGCCCCTGACTCCCCACTGTTCCATCCATCCACTCCTTGCTCTTATAGCCCCTGACTACCCACCCTCAAACCCATGGACTCCCTTCTTGTATAGCCCCTGACTACCCACCTCCTAATTATGCAGTCCTTGCTTCCAGAGACCCTGACTACTCATTGTCCCATCCATTCACTTCTTACTTCCACAGCCCCGGACTACCCACCCTTCGATTCATGCACTCCATGCTCCACCTCATGTGGCCTAAATTTCCTATATATATATATTAATTATAATTTTTTTCTTTTTCTTTCTGAGACGGAGTTTCACTCTTGTTACCCAGGCTGGAGTGCAATGGCCCAATCTCGGCTCACCGCAACCTCCGCCTCCTGGGTTCAGGCAATTCTCCTGCCTCAGCCTCCTGAGTAGCTGGGACTACAGGGTTGATACTGATTTTCATATGACAACGTTCGGCAAAGGCCTCCCTGCATTTGAAGAGCAGGTTTTCATTTATATGTATTTTTGGGAGAAAAAGTAATAAAAGTTGTAAATATAAACACACAGACACACACACACACACACACACACACACACACACACTATGAAATGTACCTCAAGGCCTCTCCTGAGGCACTCAGCCATTGACTGTGATAAGGCTGTGCAGCTGAGGTGCATGAATTTCATGTGTATGCAACACGAGAGATATTCCCAGGAAGTTAAGCTTCATACTAGGAAATGTCTGTGTAGGTGTATTTGTTTGTTGTAAATGCTTAAGGAGTGATCAGAGACTATGGTGGGGAGGGGAAGCTGTTCTTCCAAAGAGAAATTCGCTCACATTTTCTAATCAATTCTTCCTCCTTCCTTCACTTCCCTGTAGTGGAAATGTGGGGGAGACCAAAGCTGCGATTCCAGTCCACACCAGAGCCCAGAAAGATTCCCAGGACCCGGGAGATGCTTCCTGAGCATCAGGAGCCTGTGGAACGCAGGAAGGATGGTCCTACATGAACCAGGAGGAACGACAATTGTCTGTAGTAAAAGATGAATGACAAAGGCAGGAAGGCACAAGAAGGCTCCCAGGTCGGCCCAGGTGAGATGAGAGGGTCAGTTCTTATGAAGCATGTGTGGTGTCCCACAGAAGCCCCCAGGGGTCTGTTGTGGGCGCCACTGTGTCTGAAGTGTGTGTGGTGGTGGGGGTGTCAATGTAGGGCCTTGAAGCTCATTTTTCTCGAAGGAGCAGGAGCATGAGGCTGGCTCTGGGAAGCCTCGTCCTCGTTGAAGCAGGCAGGTGGATGGGCGATTGGATGAACGACAGTTGAGAGCTGAGCCCACAGAGTGGAGGAGGAAAGAGAGGCGCATGGATGGAGACGCAGACACAGTCCACCAGAGCCTGGGAACCCCCACACCTATGCGCTCCTCTTGTTTATCCGGAAAGGAGAGCATCAGGTTTGAGGAGGAATGGAACCTGAAACAAACCTCTTCCCTAGATGTGGAATTAATGAGACCCATTGCCTCTGCTCTCCGGTCCCTGTTCGTCACACAGAGTGCACCTACTGAGCTGGCAGTGGCCTGATGGCAGGTGATTCCTTGTGTGCCCAAGCCCAATCACATAGTCAAGGCGAGACCCACTTCTCAGGCTTAGGGTCCCTGCAAATGAAGCATGAGGACCCCCATGCTTCTCAATGATCCTAGCAGGCATCCCTGGGGTCTCCACTCTTGACAAGTTAACCCAGTTGACCACATTAGAGAGTGTCAGGGACTGTCATGCCTCCCCAGTGACAATATCATAAAGGAAGAGACCGTAGACGGAAGATATGCTCTTGAAGCGCACATTCATGAGAACAGACCCAAATAAACTCAGATGGTCTCACTCCCATTGAGGCTATATAGAATGCATGACAAAGATACACATGATTTTCAAGGCCACTTTTCAAGTATTACGTACATTTATCACATAGTGATTAAACAGTGCAGTCTCTAATCCTGAGTTTCTGCTGCCCAAAAGATGTCTAAAAGTATAATGACAACTCTTCCTCCAGGGCTCAAAGCATCTTTCCTATCAGGTACAGGCCAGACATCAGGCCCCAGGGGTCTGGAGCGGGCAGGAGGTGAAGGACAGGACATGGTGTGAAGCAAACAGACATGAGTGAGATCAGAAGAGGCTGCTGAACGCTGGACTGGAGCCAAGCATGGGGTGCCCAGACCCGCTCTCCACTCACAGGAGCTGGACCTCGGATCGTCTCAAGCCACTCCTGGCTTATGGTGGGTGCGCACATGTTCCAAAACCCAGGACGGTAAAGACTGTATTTGGGGCAGAGTAAGAAGAATTGGATCAGGGCAACATACAAAAGCTCTAAAGACAATAAGTAAAGGCTTCATTCTTGTTTTGAACATAATTTGTCAAAGTGTTTGTGTTTCTGTGGTTAAAATTATGGTCCTAATTAAAACAAAAAAAGTCATTTGTCATTTGTATTTTCATTACACTTTTTAGTTTTGTGAATTTCAAAGCTCTATCCCGGGTTGATGAAAGTAGAAAACGTGTAGGGTGTGGGGAAATGACAAGAACAGAGGAGATTCTGAAATAATCCTTAGGAAACCACCTGAATTCCTGGGAGAATTTCAGACTTTCCAAGGCTATGAAACTGGTGGGCTCAGGCCTAGATCTCTAAGGGGACAAGGAGAACAAAGTGACACCTGTGTCCCAGGGGACAGAAGAGAAAATGGAGCCAGGCCTGTCTCTGACAGGGTGAGCTGCTGGAGTAGGATCTGGTAGACCCAGTGGGGTGGAGGGACCCGGGGCTGGAGCTGAGGGAGGGACTGTGCTTCAGCCTCCTCCTCCCACTGCCCCTCCCCTGCACCCAGCAGCCCTTAGTGAGGAGGAGGCCCCAGCTATGTGATGCAGGCCTGGGCCCCAGTCCCTAGTCCCAAAGGGGATGCCCAAGGCTGTTGCTTGGTGAGACATTGCACTTCAGATGAAAAAAATGCTCTTTCATCTGAAGAGCCCTAGTGCCACGTGGCTGAGCCCCAGCTCCACTCTCCGGGTGATGGATCGTATCCTCACTGGGGTGTGGGCCTATTACTCCCCCACCTCCCCAGTGACCCACCCCCACCCCTACCCTACAGAGAAAGATTCTCTGGTTTTCCCCCACTGGTTTCCACTTTTCCTAAGCAATGAGAGACGCTCCTGGGATGGAAATGTCATGATCCCTCAGGGCAGGGCAGGTGGGGTGAGAGCGCACAGAGGATTCCATGCCCAGCTCCCAAACCACCTGTGGGGTGGGCAGGAGGCTTCAGGGCACAAAGCAACACCGGGCTTAGTGGTGAGGACAGGCCCAGGAGAGGGCCAGGGCTCTATGGGAGATAGGCCCCGGCCGTGGCTCATCAGCCCTTCCCGGGGCAGGTGCTGGCGCCCAGTTTCCTCTGTGTGGGGTGATCTGGAGCTGTGTGGAGACCCTGCCTGCCAGGAAGGGAAGTGGTAAGGGGCGGCAGCCAGTCAAGCCAGGGCACACATCCTCTCCTGAAATCTGCTTGGACAGGCCAGGACCACAATGGAGAAAGCGGGCCTGGCTCCAGGCTGCAGAGAGGCGCTGAGGCCCTAGGGGAGCCTGGCAGGATCTGGCTAATCCTGAGCTCTGCTTCCAGCAGGGTCTTGCCCTGTAACCCAGGGGACAAGGCCAGCCAAGACATGGTCACTGGGTGCCAGCCAGCGCCTGGGCCAGGCACCAGGTGGGAAGGGCTCTGGCAGATCAGCCACGCATGCCCCACAGGCCCACGGTGGGGCCCATCCAGGGCCACATACCTGCCCCCAGGAGCAGGACATCCGTGGGGCTAGAGTCCAGCTAGACGGGTGGTGAGCCTCGCCCTGTGCCCTTTGATTCAACTTGTAGGTGCTCTTGCTGGGCTCCTGTGCACTGCCCCACACCCTGCTCTGTCACCAGCCCCACTGTGATGTCATAAGAGCCCAGCTGCCCAGTTGGCCCAGCCGTCCAGCTGGCCACAAACTAGTGGGTGTATACACTCAGTTGTAGTAGACTCACGCATATACTGTCCCTTACTGACATTTTACCTTTCATCTGGGAATTTCCCACAATATGGGAAAACGCTTTTTTTTACCGGTTCCACCGCAGGCCCTGGCAGCAGTGGCAACCCCAATGGTCTCCTCTTGTTCCTTTGAACTTTTAGGCTGGCCGGGTTCACCCTGCAGCTCCTGCGTGTGTGCCTCAACAGGGAACCCGATACCCTGCTCGATTTTTGAGTCATCACGGAGGTCTTCAGTCCCGTTTTGCATCCGGAAGGAATTTCACCCCAACCTCGAGCGCCCTACGGCGGGCCCTGCCCCTCTGGTGTGGAGGCCACCCTCAAGGAAGAAAGTCCTGCTGTCTGCAAGGCACTTGGCCCACAGAAGCCCCATGAGGCTGCCTTCTCTACAAGTGCCGGCTCCGATAGAGGTGACAGAAGAAGAGCCGGGAGAACCAATGGAGGCAACAGCAGAAGAGCCGGAAGAACCAATGGAAGAACCAATGGACGATGAGGTAGAGACCCAGGGGCAGGAGGAGGAGAAAGGGGGCCCCGTAGCAATGAACCAACAGCATCTACCTCGAGGCCCCTGGAGACTCAGGGAAACCTCGCTTCCCTCGACTGCAGTCCCAGGGCCTTAAAGGGAAGTGTCCAATCCAAGGCCCATGGAGTGCCCAGTGCATACAGCCCTGCAGGAGGCGTCCTTCCCTTTGGGAAGCCTGACCCAGCTCCAGCAGTGCTCCCTGGCCCAGTTCCCGGCTGCTCCCATTGGCCAGAGAAGGCGGCATCTCAGGTGCTGGAGAAAGAGCAGCTACCCAGCTCCTCAGGCTTGCAGATCCCGGGGAAGGAGACCCAGTGCAAGGATCCTGCAGCTCCAGTAGTAGGCAGCTCCCCTCCACCGAGAGCTGCCAGCCAAGCAAAATGGCCAGGGCAACCCCAGCAGCTGCCACTGGTCCCTGCTAAGCAATGGAGGTGGGGCAGAGACGAGGGGCCCTCACCCGCTAAACGTCCCCGCCTATCCTTGGAAGGATTCACAAACATGGGGGCGATAGGTAGCAATGCATGGATGAGGAGACTGAAAAAGCGACGTGGGAGGAAAAAGAACTTTTGGTAAACGGCAGTGCCAGCCGGCCCATCTTCCCACCTCCTCACCTCACCCACCTCCCTGCCCCAGGCCACCTACATGTCACAGGTCCCAGCTCCTCCTCCTACCTTTGACTTGGCCCACACGGCTGCTGGGCCCCTCATCCTGCCCGTCCCCACCAGCTTCCCCAACTCCTCTGGCCTCCACGCTGTCACCAGGCCCGACGACATCCTCAGAGCCTTTTGGATCACACTCAACCCTGAGTGCCGCCAGGCCACCGGAGCCCTTGCCTCCCCTAAAATGCCGTGCACCCCGGACACATGCGCTTGTTCTTCCTTCACCACAGCCCCATGGGCTCGCGGCCTCCTCTCCACCCCCACGTGCCTCCAGCCTGGTTGGAATTCCATGTGGCTCCACAACACGCCCCGGCCCCCACAGCTCTCCTCCACACCAGCAGGGGCCGCCGGCTCCAACCACGGTGATCTCTGGCCTTGGGTGCTCCGGCAAGCCCACCGGGGACCTCTCCTGGTAAAAGGAGGCTGCCACCACGTGGGGCCTCTCCACTTGCTCACATGGCAAATTCCAGCAACAGCATCTTCCCGACCACCCCCCAGAGCCTTCCTTCTGGGGAGACCCCACACCCCAGAAGATGGAGGCAGGTGAGTGCACATTCATCCACCCTGACGTGCAGAAGCTGCTGGATGGAGATGCTCATCGCCAAGAAGGCAGTGATGAAGCTGCGACAGAAAAAAGCAGGGACGGGGTGGACTGCCCGCAGATGACACCACTGCAGAAGGAGTGGGACGCCATGACTCCGCATCCCTTCTGGAACCAGAGAGCCCAAGAGCAGCAGCCACCCTGTCCACAGAGGGTCTCTGACGCCACAGCAAATGCAGCCAGCTCTTCTGGCCGCCCTTGCTTATCTAGTGAAAGGAAAATGAAATTTACTCTTCATCACCCCATTTGGGGTGCCTTTTCTCAAACAGTCACTGGGAGTTTGCCACCAGAACCTAGTATTCCCAATGGCCAACCCAAAGCTATCATCTCCTCGTAGATGGAAATAAGCCAAGACTTCAGGTGGCATGTCTGTGGCAGGGAGCGTGTCCACATGACTGATGGCCAGAAGGCCCCGTCTCGGAGGAGGATGCCAGAGGCATGGCTTGGCAGCTGCTCCTCTACATCCACCTGCACTATGAGCTCGAGCTCACTGACCACCTGTGCTCTCAGGCACAGCTGCCCTGGACTGTCAGCAACACAGACTGTGGACACCGAGGGGTTACTAGTGGTCCCCAGAGTCCCTGATCTCCTCAGATCCACCTCAATGCTTCCCGAATTTGGGAGAGCAGGCAGGACCCCTGCGTGTCTTCTGCCTGATGCTTCAGACTCCCTGGGAATTCCCTCTGGGGCGGCAGCGGGTCTCCAGGTGGCCAGAATCTGCCAGGCGAGCCATGGGGCTGCTCCTGGTCGGTGGCACTCCTTCCTCGCTACCATTGCTCTGGGAAGCTCAGGCCTGGCGGCAGCCCCAAAAACCATGGAAGCTGACTTGGGACTGCAGGGGACCGGCCTCTCCTGGGGAAGGTGGGCAGTGGGTTCACTCAGGACAGCCTGAGACTTTTGGAGGAGTGAGGGCAAAACCCTCTTCCACTTTGGTCGCTTTTGCAAGGGCCATTCAAGATACTCCTTTACAGTAGGGGTGGAAGAATGTGCCCCCTGCTGGGGTGTAAGGCAAGATGCCCCATAGCCCCTAATCTAGGGTAAAGAAGAGCACAGTAGGCTTGGGACACAGGGTGAGAAGTGGGCCTGGGTCTGGATCCCAGCCAGAGGTGGGGGCTGGGGCCGGGGCCTGGCTGGAGTGAGGCTGTGCCACATGGTGGGGCTGGGGTGGTGCCTGGGAAAGCTGTGAGGATGCCTCAACGTCACCTTCACGTGGAAGAGAAGTGGCAGCTTCGGGTTATGATACCCTGTGCCTGTTTCCAGAGGAAGCCTCCTTCGAAACCCAGGCTGCGACCACCAGGGACTCGCTGTTGAAAGAGGGGAGAGCTCAAATGTAATACACTCAGAGTATACCCTTTTAAGCCAAGGCCTCTATTAAAATGTTC